ATAAAAAGGGAAAACATTTTGGTTTGTCTTCATTTTCAGCAACGTTTACCATGGAAAAGCGATGTGTTTCGGAGGCAGTGGTTGCATCGCTTGTCAAAAGCGAGCCCGCAGAGGTGCGACCCGGTTTCGCTATCGCAGACGCTGGCATGACCAACTATTGCCTCTGTAAGGAGGACCTCTGCAATCATGACAGCCTCTTAGCTCAAGCGCAAATTTCCGGGTAAGATTTTGTGCTTATATGTTTCATGAAGCCCTGGTTATGATTCAAATTACAGTGTACGAAAATCAGAACCAGCACCAAAACCGAAAACCCCCGCTCTGGAGGAAGTGCAGGCGCCGGAGAACAACATGCCCAAGGTGGAGCGACTATTTCCAGTCGGATCACCAAGCAATTACTGGTTCCAGAAATTTATAGTTAGCTCGTTTAGCAGCCATCACCCGAAGTGACGCACGTTTTCCTTGACAGCGATGAGACGCCAAGCGTGGAAACCTCTCAAGTCCCTGAGCCGAGGTAAGCGTATAAAGAAATTTGTTGCTATAGGAAATACGAGGCACGCCAAGATTATTGTGAAAAAAAACTGGGACATCGTTACGGAAAAGAGGGCAAGCCTAGCTCAGCACTCACAGCGCCAGCCACTGGTTGATACGGTCATTCATTACGTGGATGACGGGTTTAAATCGACAGAGGTTCTTAGGAAATAACTATTAAAAACAGTGCTTTGTAACTGGGCGAATAATCATTTGATTAGGTGGAAAGACCGCGAAATCAGTAACAGCTACGAACTTTTAATGCATGAATTTCAGTAATATGTTGCTATTCGTGAAAAAAAACCATTATTTTTTCTGACACGTTTGCACAAAAGTGAGGACAAATTGTAGCTATGCTGTTAAGTTGGCGCAATTTCAGTAGAAAAAAGATATTATGAAAAGATAAATATATAGATAAACAGATAAAGAGACACACAAGATGAATCCAGTTATCAAACTAGTTAATCAACACGTAGTTGAACGAAAATAATAGCAAAATTATATAGGAGATGGTGGAAATAGTATACAGGGGGTGGGGGGGGGCAAAAAAGGAGTCACATTGCCCATGGCGCACATCATAAATGATAAGAAACATAGCTAGCCTAGCTGTTAGATAGAACAAGAAAAGCTCTTCAAAACCACATACAGCTCATTGGCAGCTTGCTTGAATTCGTAACAAAATAAAGCGTTCAAAAACGAAACACCGAAAAGCGCAAGAACTTTTCACACGACCTAATAGCAATCCACTCGTGAAAGCCCTCTGATAAGGACGCCTAATTTTTTTTCCCAGGCCTGAATGCTGTAAGAAGCGATCAATGAGCCATTAGCCGGATATCTTTGGCCAGATCAAGAGGGGAGGGTAGGTATCCACAGTGGATAGACCACAGAAAATATGCAAGAGAATTTGATTGGATGTCGATGATGGAGGGCACTTGACCAGTTCTTATTAATAAGTTACTTAAAAGAGGCTCATGCATGCCGCTAAAGATCCTTAGCCTTATGTTGATCCTTATTGTTAGAGTTGCAGAGCAGAATGAAAGCCCTTCAACTCCATTTTCACCAGAAGAACGCACCAAGAGACTCATAAGTGAATTGACTCGTTCAATACGTTCATCGTGGCCGTGTTCTTGTCGGCCCAGTACCACCAACAACTTGATTCTTTCAGAGAGCCAAAGATTTTCCTACTGATCCATTGCCACCGTTCGTACGAACACATCCATCTGGACCATTACCTCATTCTGGCTGCTCCTGAACTGCCTGTTGTCAAGACTGCCCCCGTGCCTCCTGCACCTACAGCAAGGCAGTCGGAGCTACCTCCTCAAGTCATTGCTGCTGTTCCTTCCATTCATCCGGTACCGAAAGAGCAGCAGACGAACTCCTTCCCATCTCCTCAAAGTCAACAAAATCGTGATCGCGATGAAGCTGATTTGACACCGGTGCCCATCGAAGCTGTTGTTCATCAAGGCGCCGGCAAAGTGGAGCAGCAGATAGAAAGGGTGAGAATTTTGAACTTGGTTATCAGTTTTGCTTTTTTCAATCTGCAATCATAATTTCAATGCTTCGCCTAAGCTAGAAACTTTGGCCGTTGTTCTCCATGAGTCATTCCGCCCTAGTGCTGCCGAAAAAGAATTGTAGATTCATCATGACCTTGATTTTTAGAAATTTGAGCGGAGAATACCTGGTGATGAGTCTAACTGAAATGGCC